GCAGTTCAAAACCGACTCCACGGCACATAACAACAATAACAAGTGTGGTTTTTAGATGACTTCAGGGGCCGTTTCTTTGGTTTCAGATTTAATCTCACACCAGCAGTTTCAGAGTTCATCTCCCTCCAAGTCTCCAAATAGTCTAGATTCCATGAGACTTTGAAATTCTGTTCTGCGTTCTGACCAGGAATCTTCAATGGAATCTTTGACCAAAATGTTCAGTAATGGTAGCCAGGTACCATCCAGTTCTGGTCTCAGGGCAAAGGAGGCACTTGTTCATGGGAGGAATCTGCCACCCGGTCCATATCCAGACTCTCCTTCCTTGGTTGCTCCAGGTGAATAGAAACCAATTACTTGTGCTTTGGATGCCTAGAGTTATCTGTTTTGATCTTTTGATCTGTTTTGATCTATTGCATTTCTTATTCATTAATAGCTATGAATTATATATTAAGGATATGATTCCTTTTTAAGTAGCTTTGTTGTGGCGTGATTAAAATAGCACATATTTTATCCAATAAAGTATATAATTTCATCCAACAAAGTATATAATTCAGTGGCTTTAAGTACATTTACAGAGTTGCTCAACCATCACTGCCATCAATCCTAGAAGATTTTCAATCCCTTTAGCCGTCACCTCCCAATTTCTCCAGCCCAAGGAGTCCTAGTGTGGCGCTGCAGGATAATGCACTGGACCGCAAGGTTGGTGGTTCCAATTCACCAGCTGCTCCTCGTAAACCCTATATAGGGTCGCTATGAGTCAGATCCGACTCTGCAGCACTTAACAACAACAGGCAACCACTACTTTACGTTCTTTCTCTATAAATCTGCCGATTCCAAAAAATTTGGCTATGTGAAACCATGTAACATGTAATCTTTTGCGTCTGGCTTCTTTCAATTATTATTCTGCTTTCAAGGTTCTTCCGTGTTGTATAGCAGAGTAATGGTCCATGGAATCAGACATTTTGTTGATCTAGTCAGCAGCTGATGTTCTTTCCATCTTTTGGTGTATTGTAAATAATGCTACTATGAATACTTAATTTGCAAGTTTTTTGTGTAGACATGTTTTTGTTTCGCCTGCTTATATATCTAGGAATGGTATCGAATGATAACTAGATCAACTACCAGTCTACACCATGTCATATTCGCACCAGGAATGCATGTGAGTTCCAATTTCTCCAGATTCTCACCAACACTTGTTATGGTTCATCTTTTTTATTATAGATATCCTAGTGGGTGTGAGATGGTATTTCATTGTGGCTTTGACTTGCATTTCTATTATGACTAATGATATTCAGCATCTTTTCATATGCTTACTGGTCATTGGTACATCTTCTTGGAAGAAATGTTGGCTACAGTCCTTTGTGCAGTCTTTGATTAGGTTATTCATTTTTAATTGTCGAATTGTAAGAGTTCTTTATATATTCAGGATGCACGCTCCTTATGTCCAACATTTGCTTGTCTTTGCACTTTCTTGATAGTGCCCCGTGAAGCACAAAATAAGTTTCATTTTAATGATGTCCAGTTTCTTATTTTCTTTTCTTGCTTGTACTTTTGGCACTATAGCTAAGAAACCATTGCCCGATCCAAGGCCGTAAAGGGTTAGACCTATGTTTTCTTTTAAGAGTTTTATCATTTTAGCCCTTATATTTATGTCTTTGATGCATTTTGAGTCCATGGTGTGAGGTATGGATTCAGCTTAATTATTTTGCATGCGGATATTCATTTGTCCTAGCACCATCTGTTGAAAAGATTATTCTTTTCCTGTTGAATGGTTTGGATATCCTAGTCAAAATCAGTTCACCATAAATGTTAAGGGTTTCTTTCTGGACTGTCCATTCTATTCCATCATCTCATTGTCTTGTTTACTGCAGACTTGTACAAACTTTTAAAATAAGGATATGTGAGTCTTTCAACTTTGTTCTGGTTTTTCAACATTGTTTGGGCTATTCTGGATCCCTGGAAGTTTATCATTCTTTTGTTGTCCTTTTTCTTTGCACATATCTTCCCACCTGTCACTTGATTTTTGTTTAGGATTTACAGAAGTTAAAAATTCTGATGGCAACTTTATTGAATTTTTTTTCCATTGCTTGTATACTTATAAAAATATAGCCCACGTTCATTTCCTAATAACTTTCTGACCCATGTTTTTTGTTATCTCTTGTATATATATGTTGCAGACTCTTTCATTGGCTGGCCTTCTTACTTTGTTTACAAGATGTTTTGCCATAGAGACACTTAACATTTTTATACTTTCATATGATTATACGTCTCTGGATTTGAAATTATGCTAAAGAAATCCTTCCCACTCCAAGATTATAAAACTTTCCTTCCTGATGACCCAGTGGGCTCAATGTTGGGCTGCTAACTGAAAGAATGGTAGTATGAACCCACTGGATGCACCATAGGAGACAGTTGAGGTAGTTGGCTCCCATAACGATTTACAGCTTTGGAAACCTCTATAGGACTGTTAGGGTGGCACTGCAGGATAATATGTTAGATCGAAAGGTCAGTTTGAGCCACAAGGTCAGCGGTTCAAACCCACCAGCCGCTCCTGGGAAACCCTGTACAGGGTCAATATAAGTCAGAACTTGCTCCATGGCACCTAACAACAACATAGGGCTGCTAGCCTGAAGTTCTGGTGTATCGCTGTAGGAAAAGCACCGGACTGCTAACGCTAAGGCCAATGAGTTGAACCTACCAGCTGCTCCTCAGAAACCCAAACAGGATCTCTATGAGTTGTTTTCAACTGAAAGGCACTTTACAACAACAACAACAACAACAACATAGGGCCTGAGTCAGGTCAGAAGCAACTTGATGGTAATAAATAAAATACTGTCATCAAGTACTTTTATGAATTGCAACTCATTTTTGTCTTGTTTATTTTTGTTAACTTTATTTTAAAAACAACTGCTGTGTCAGTGGAATTCGTTTGTGTGTGTGTGGTGAAAACAGACACACAAAACATATGTCGATCCAACAATTTCTACATGTAGGAGGGAGCTTCAAAAAGCTCATGGAAACAAATAGAATGAAAAGATTATAGCATTTTTCCACAAAGTTTTTGAAGCCCCCTCCTCTAATCCAGTGACACTGATCACCTTCAAGTTGTGCTAACATTCTTGCCATCCATTACCAAATGATTCCACCCCACCCCGTTAACATCAACTCAATGCCTCCTAAGCAAACATTGTCCCTGTCTCCCTCTCTCCAATCCCTGGTAACCACCAATCATTTTTGGTTTTATATATTTGTGCATTTCCAATATCTGAGATCAAATAGTATTTGTCTTTTCACTCAGCATGTTTTAAAGGTTCATCTATGTAATGAAATACATCAAAACTTCATTTCTCTTCAGGGCTGAAGAATATACTATTGTATGTATAGGCCACATTGTATTCCTCTATTCCCCTGTTGATGGATATTCTGATTGTCTCCACCTTTTTTGGCTAGTGTGAAAAGTTCTGCCAATTACCATTGGTGTAGAGGCTTCCCGTTTGCGTTCCTGCTGTTCAGTTCTTCTGGGTATAGACCTAGGATTGGAATTGCTGGGTCTTAGGGTCATTTCACTAAACTGTTTTCCACAGCAGCTATGCCGTTTTACATTCTCACCAGCAATGAATGAGGGTCCCGGCTTCTCCACAACTTCACCAACACCCGTGGTTTCCTGTTTTTGTTTGTCTGTCTGATCAAGGAGTCATACAGTCCAACAGCAGTGGGGGATATTAAGAGTTTCCTTCTCTACCCTCTCTGCATGTATTTATTTAGGCGAGAGACCAGCAAACATTCTGTGCACTTGACACATTCAGACTGAGCTTACGCTGGTTGTGGCTAGAGGTGAGAAAAAGAGAGAGAGAGAGAGACAGAGAGTTAGAGAATCCCTCTTTGCATCCATTCTTACCAGGCATGAATTGGTGATTCCCCATCCAGTGTTAGAAGAGCCACTTGGAATGATTGCGCTAGACAGAAGTGGCACTTGCCATTTTCATATAAGCACATCTAGCATTGGAGCAAAATTCAGGTGAATCTCTACTACGCGGACTCTTGTTTCTGACTTGCACAGATTTCATACTCACAACCTTGGTCTCCGCCCACAGCAGCGGCAGCTCCTTGGGTGGGGTGCCCGCAGGCCCTGTTTGCTCTTTTTCTTTCAGGCGCTGTGGAGGCCCCCGTCCCAGGAGCTAGGGTGCAGGGAAGGGAAAGACGTCTGGTTCCTTTCGTTTCGCGCGTGGTTTCTCTAAGGGGTCGCCTCTTTGTCTTTCCGTTTTCTTGTGTCCTAAGACAAGTCAAGACTCCAAGCTCACGTGCCCACCCAGGGGGCTTCCTAAGACCCGACGTTTGGGAATCAGGAATATGCAGGGGATGTGGATTTGGCATCAAATTCTGAAGGGTGTGTGTGTGTGTGTTTGCGAGCCAGCGCGCAACTTGCAGAGTGCGCAGTCCGCTTCAGTGCAGTCCCTTAGCAACTATCCAGGGCTAGTCGGCTCTGGTTGCCAGCAAGGAAGCAGCCCTGGCCCATGCCCGCTCTGGGCAACTCCCCGGCGCCATGAAAGTGGGTCTTGGCGGGACGCTAAAGAGCCGTCCAGACTTCGCCATAGGAGTTGGAAGCCGCGCCCCCCTCCAGTCATGTGCGCTGGCGGGCCGGCCCGCCCCCACCGACCACAGGCCCCTCCGCGTGGAGCCGCGGGGGCTCCTCCGCCCCCTTTCAGCAGGGGAAGTGCCCCCGGGGAGGCGTGGCGCGCTCTCTGGAGGAGTCACCGCTGCCGCCTGAGTGCTCCGAGGGCTCCTCGAGGTCCCAGCGAGCACCGGCCGCTGCTGCCACTAGCGCGCTGGGACGACGGGCGACCCCCAGACTAGGGCTGAGAGCGCGGCTGGGCTCGGCAGGGATGGCGGCAGCGGGGGGCACCCTGGCGCACCCCTCCTCGACCCCGCCCCAGGCGGCCGACACGCGGGCCTGGTCCCCGTCGCGGGGCAACCGCCCCCAAGCCGGTCAGCCCTTCTTGCCCCTCGCCCAGGCTGTCCCCATGCAGGTGGACATGGCCATGGTCCTGCAGCGCGTGCGGATCGCGGAGAAATATGGAAAGAACTACCTGTGCCTCCTGCAAGCCGGCGGCATCACAGGTGAGGCCCGTTCGCATCCCTCCACGCTGGGGGAGGGGGGGCGCAGCCCGCATCCGGGAGAAGGTCCCAGCCAGTCGTGCGGGCTCAGGGCGCCGTCTCCTCCCCAGCCATTCCACGCTTCTCCAGGGAGGTGGCCTTCCCAAGAGGGCGTGTGCCCTGGGGGCTGCAGGCGAAGACTTACTGGAAGCACCTTGTGGGTGCGGAGACCACGTGCACAAGGCTGTGGGATTTGGAGGATCCGTGGCGCAGCAGGTGGAGGGGGAACTGGAGGGAGACCACTGCAGCCGTCGATTTGAACCGGTCACTCGGACAGACCAGGGTATCTTTCCACCTTGGTGCACAAACAAATGCACAAAGTCCACACACGAATGCCACTTGTGTTCTGGGCTCTTGCCACTCATATTGCACACATGCTCATGAGAAGGCTTCCAGAAGTTCGTAGGAAAATTCCATGATTTTTTCATTCCATTTTTTTCCACGAACTTTGGGAAGCCCCCTGATTTGTTCATCCTGCCGCTGGAGTTGCGAATCCTTGGGGTTGGTGCAGCAGGATCTGGGGACCAGAGGCCCTGGGAAAGAAGTTGGTGTGAGACCATGGGGACCGGACGGAGGAAGTATGCCAAGAAACAGGGTACAACTCTGGGACTTAAGTTCAGCCTGGATTTTTCAGTCAAGCCTAAGAGGATATGGCTGCATGTGCCTTACTGTGTGTGGTTCACGCTTATTATAGGTGGTCTTAGGTGCCGTCGGGTCCATTCCCAACTCTTGGAGACTCCATGTGACAGAGTAGAATTGCCCCATAGGGTTTTCGAGGCTGTAATCTTTATGGGCCGTCCTGGTGTGGTGCTGTAGGATAAGCACTGAACTGCTAACCGAAGTTGAAGTTTCAAACCCACCATCCTCTCCTTGGAAACCCTATACAGGATTGCTAAGAGTCAGAAATGATTCGAAGGCACTTAAAACAACAAGAATCTTAACGGGAACAAACCATTAGGCCTCTCTCGCAAGGAGTTTCTCGGTGGTTGAACTGCCAACCTTGATATCATGCCCATGTAGTTTTGACTTACCCATTGCCTTGAAGTCTATTCTGACTCATCACAGACCTCTCGGGCTGGGTAGAACTGCCCCTTAGAGTTTCCAAGGCTGTAATCTTTTGAGGTGCAGACTGCCACATTCGGTTTGGGCATTCTTGTTGTTAAGTGCTGTCGAGTGGGTTCTAACTCATAGCAACCCTGTACAGAGTTTGTGAGGAGTGGCTGGTGAGTTTGAACTGCTGACCTTGCAATTCAAACTATCTTACAGTCCAGTGCTTATCCTGTAGTGTCACAATAGGGCTCCAGTTTAGCCCCAAGCCCCTTATTGCACCTTATTCAGGGTTCTTAAGGCATCTGAAGGAAATACTGCAAAACCCATTTCATTGTCACCTGCTAGGTATGGGAAGGATTCCTGGTGTGGTTATTGTTGTTGTTATTATGTGCCATGGAGTCGGTTCCGACTCATAGCGATCCTGTACAGAGTTTCCAAGACCGTTAATTTTTATGGGAGCAGAAAGCCTCATCTTTCTTCCGAAGAACAACTGGTAGTTTCAAACTGCTGACCTTGCGGTTCGCAGCCTTATTCGTAACCACTACGCTGTTATAGGATAAGCAATGGATAGCTAACCACTAGGTCGGCGGTTCAAGCTCACCAGCCGCTCCTTGGAAACCCTATACAGGGTCGCTATGGGTCAGAACGAACTTGACGGCACAGATAGAGGAACAATAACAACAGATAGAGGAAAAGCGCCCTGGTGGCCCAATGCTAAAGTGCTCGGCTGTCACTGAAAGGCTGGTGGTTGGAACTCACCCAGTAGCTCTGTAGGAGAAAGATATGGTGATCTGTTTCTATAAAGATTTAAAACACCACCACCCCACTGCCGTGGTAGTGACCCTATAGGACTGAGCAGAACTCTCAGAGATCTCTATGGAAGCAGCTCGTGAGGAGCAGCCGGTGACTTTGAACCATGGATCTTTCTGTTAGCAGCCCAGTGCTTTCAAGGGGCCATCTGTAAATATTTATAATCCAGGAAACCCGGTGGGGCAGTTCTACTCTGTCGCACACGGGGTCACTATGAGTTCTTTCCCACTGGCACTAAATCTTTGGGGAGCATGGCTCTATGGCAAAAACTCCTTCACGTCTTCAGAGCAACTTAAATGGTTTTTGGATGATGTCAAAGCCCCCAAACAAAAAAAACCAATAACACTTACCAAAACAAAACCCTCACTGAAGCCTGCACCGGGCATTGGAAAGCACTCTATGTCTATGTGTAAGGTGTGTCTCTTGTAGCGCACCTATTGAAGGATCCTGTTTTCTTATCCGTTCTGCTCATTTCTGTTTCTTGACTGGTGCATTTAATCCATTGACATTCAGTGTAATTATCAATAAGTATAATGACTGCCATTTTGCTGTGGGGTTGTGGGTTTTTTTGCGTGTGTGTGTGTGTGTGTGTGTGTGTGTGTGTGCATAGTGCTACTGGTTTCTTTGTTCCACATAATTTTCTGTGCTGAGTTAATTTGTTTGTGTGTTTTCTTATCATTTTCTTCAGTCTTGTTTTCATGTTTACCAAATCTTTATGGGTTTCCTCTTTTTTGTTGTGACGGAAAAGTAATTTGTGTCTTCCTTTCATTCACCCCTGCATCTTCCTGAGACTTAAAGTCCCCACAGGAGACGTGTATGTGTTGACACCCAAGGTAAGGCTATGAAATTTGTCTACATCTGCACAGCTAAGTGATTTCTCCAATTCTTAGAATTGTGTGAGACTTCGTCTTCCTTACCCTTTGACACATCTCAGCATCTGGTGATTTTGCATGGATATGCAGTATGTTTTTCCCCTCAGCATCTTCGTCAGTAGCCTCTACTCCTGCATGGTCCAGCAGAGAGTTCTGAAAGAGTACTCATGCTGGCAGGACACATGTCGACCATCGCACAATAATTTTTACATGTGCAAGGGATTTCATATAGTTTCAAATATAGTATGGGTATAAAATATTTACAAAGCTTTTCATCATGAACTTTTTGCTGCTGTAATAAGTTACTGATTTATGTGTGTGCGGGATCTCCAGGCAGTGGGATTCAGTGACAGAATTCTACCCTCCATGTTGTTGTTGTTGTTGTTAACATGCTGTCGAGTTGCTTCTAGTGAGCTTGAACTGCCGACCTTGCAGTTCAAACCAACCTTGCAGCCCAGTCAGTGCATTAAGCCACAGAGCCACACCAGGACTCTGTCACCTTCCATGTGGGAAATCTTTGTTCAATTCCCAGCCAATGTGCAGCCACTACCTCACTGTCAGTGGAGGTGTGTGTGTTGCTGCGATGTATAATAGAGCAAAATGTTGCCCAATTCTGTCCCACCTTCATGATCATTTACATGCTTACTCCATTGTTACCACCTTTGTGTCAATCCATTTCATTGAGGGTTTCATTACCTTCGCTGGCCCTCCACTTTCCCAAGCATTGTGGATTACAGAACATTGTTTGAGATTTTGGCTTTACTTAGTTTGGACCCCTCTTCAGGAGGGGCCAATTGCTGTAGAAGGACTTTTCCTTAAATAAATGCTATTAATCATGGATCAATGCTATCCGCTTTGTGCACCGAGTAGATAGGGATGGGCAACTTAAGACATTGGCTATCTAAAATGAGGGGGCAATAAAGGCACGAAGTGACTGGCTTACAAGGTTTCAAGAGGCAGCTTAGTTAAGAGTGTGGGGGGAAAGAAAGAGTCCCCACTGAATAGTTATCATCTTGTCTAGATGGGTCTGGTGAAAGGAGATGGGGATAAGATTCATAAGATTCAGTAGTGAATAACTGTTATCATGACTAATCGCGACTGTCACAATGGTAAAGGTAGAAGTTTTGTAACAAAAAAAAGGGGAGTGATTAATCTTACAGTCCAGAAACAGAGGACCCTAGGACCATCAAGAGAGGAGCACACAAATAGAATGTGGGACCTTATCCAGAGAAGCAGCAGTGCCAGAGATGGAGGCAGAGATGGGGGCATGGAGAGGGGGAGCGGCTGAGGCCTCTAGATTCATCAACTAAGAAGAGAAGGACTAAGAACTGGTGGCCAGGAGCAGACTTGCAGAATGTGCCCTTTGGAGATGTAATTTATTATATATGTCTGAGTGGGGAAAAAAAAAATTGCTATTGATTCTCTTTGTGGGGGTACTGGGAGAAATAGAAAACTTGTAGATGAAACTGGAATATTAACTATATGACTCCCAACAGGGGTTGAACTGTGTTTCAAATACACCTTGGCTGGTCAGCATCAGCTGCTGCCGCCAGCTAGGAATGTTTGCATTTTGAAATACTGAGTTCTCTATTCATCAATCCTTGATTCATACTCTTCCACGTGGACTCCTGGTGTGGTTCTGTGCGTTAGTGTACTGGACTGCAAGGTTAGTTTGAACTGAAACCCTATACAGAGTCGCTATGAGTTGGAACCAACTCGACAGCACATAGCAGCAGTAACAACAACATTGTTAGGTAACTTGATGCTTTAGTTGTTGAATAACCAGTCTGATGGTAAGAAAAACCTCAGAGCATGATTTTATATAATATTTATTTCAATTGAAGTACTGTAATTCTCACTGCCATGTAGTCAATTTTGACTCATAACAACCCTACATAGGGTTTTCTGAGACTGTAAAACTTTAAGGGAGCCCACAGCCTCATATTTCTCCCGTCAAGTGGCTAGTGGGTTTGAACTCCGATCTTGTGGTTATCAGTTCAGTGTTTATCCTACAGTGCTGCCAGCGCTCCATTGTGTGATTAGACAGATGTATTCTTTTTTTTTTTTAAGTTTTTATTGTGAATTATTTGACAGTTTATGTGGGAGAACACCAGCTTTACATTCATCCTCTTGTATTTTGTTTCATTGCAATGATCACAATCCCCTCCGTGCATCATCAAACAAACAAAGGGTACAGCCCATAGGCCTGCCCTCCTCGCCGGCCCTCAGCAC